GATGGTAGAGAAACTTGTATTATCTATTTTTCAACACTTTATAAAGCTTTGTTTATCAGTAAGAAAGCTGGAGTAGCTCAGATGCCCACTTTCAACAGATAATCCCTCCTGAGGTGTTTTACAGTGAATATGTCACCAGTTGCTGTGAGACTGGTGTGGGATACTTCATCCACCTCTCCTGGGACATTGCACTGATAGTGGGTAAAAAAGGGATTCGTTGTCACCACCACATCACTGGGTGTTTCTGCTTTGTTCCTCATTTTCCTTTTAATTCTCCATCAAGTGAGATTTTTACTACAGACTTCCTTTCCCTTCACTGGACTGATCTCCTTTCAAAAATAATCCACTCCCCAATACCAAGTGTTACGTGTACCTCATCCATCTCTGTCATGTCTCGCCCGCGTAGGAAGACACAAAGAAACAAATCTCCCTTTCAGAAGGGTTCAGCTGATGGCTTCGCGTCGCGCACTGTTCAAATCCACGCGCTAATTTTAGTGCTCTTCCAGTTGTGAAAGTGCTGAGAAGGTATTGGCACACGCGGGCAGAAGCTGCGTATTGGTGGTTCAAATAGGGGTGGAATGTATGGGCTCGTATTTTGAGCTTTTATCCTAGAAAGGATCGTTGTGATTATCTAAGTCTGAGCTAAGTCCTTGGAACTGCTCGGAGCTTTTGAGGGGTTTTGTTGTTTCTTTTTAAAAAAAAATATTACATGCAAGCATAATCAAACACTGCAAATTGAGACCTATAGAGTCATTGCCAACTGAAGCCATGTTAGCCCAGTGCAGAAAACTTTTGAAACTCGTTCTGAAGAGTTGTCATGATCTGCTTGAGCAATGCCGTGCTCTTTAGAAGTGATGCCACTACTTCAGCAGCCTGAGAACACTCAGCGATGAAGAGCGATGAGGGGTTATTGCAGCTTGAGCTGCTGGGAGATGTTAGTCACTTACTGTAAAAAGTGCTGAAGCAACACCTAAATGACTTGAGATCTGAGCCTCAGGGAATAACCTTAGAGTGGATTTGTTCTTAACTCTGCGTTGCCTTGTTTTCCTGACTTGAAAGTGCCCTCAACACTATTTGAAGCTGAATGTGGTGATGGGGTGGATGTGGTTTGGTGTGTAATACACTGAGACAGTGCCGGCCATGTCTTCCGTCACTGTGAGTATAGAAGACGCAGTCATGCTCCAGCTTCTCCCTTAGAAACTGATCCAAGTCAGTGCTTCATGGGGTTGAAGTAGGAGGTCCTGAAAAATAAAGGGAATGTATTTTTTTTTAATTAGACTGTACTCATTCAGTCCATTCCTCATCTCTGTTGCATGTAACTGTGACAGAGTTTCAGGCATCGGCAACAGATTTTAATTTAAACTTTTGCCAACTTTATATTTTCTTATGCAATTTACTTTTTAAAATTAAGAGCACATGTTTTCCTTCCAAATAACATGCGGTACGTTTACTGGCCTTTTAAATAGGCCAAAGTGAGTGAGCAACCTTCTTTTTTTTTTCCTTTCAAGTCTATTTTTTCACTACAGGCAAATTGCTGTGGGCTTATGACCCACCCTTTTTATGACACTATTTCAGCACAGATATTCTTAGTTAGAATTCTGAGTTATTCCTTTGAAACAGAAATAGAAATCAGCATCTCAGCTAGCAGTTTCTTCAGCTGTGGGATTGTCGTGTGCATACACATACATACAAGTATGCCGCGTAAATTCATTTGAAATCTCTATTCTGTCACACAGTTTACATATTTGTGAGTTTGTTCCATTTGGGATATTCTGTAAGCTAGTGTTTTCTTTCCTATTTGTTTTCCTGTGTCTGGATTAATAGACATTTTACAAAATGCTGCTGTGGCGTGGCCATCCCTGTGATTGCTATGAACTTTGGCACTCTTCATTAAAAAAGATACAGTTCTCTCTTATTTTTTTTGCTCATACCTATGCAAGAAAAACAAAGACTATAATATTTTGATCCATAAAAGACAGCAAGTAGCAAGGACCTGTCTTTATTTTTTACATTTAAGCCTTATGTTTAGTACAAGAGCAATTTGCTCTGGTGGACTGTTTTTATATTATATATACGTTTTATATTGCATGGATTTTTTCACAACTGAGAATTATGTCATCTTGTGTTTGTTTTTTCCGGATTTTTGCCTAAATCTAAGTCTAATAATAGTTTATTAAACCTGGCATGTGGAATAGCAGAGTCTTAGCGATGGAGACTTTGGGATTCATTTTCTTTAGCAGTTTGAAGATATCCATGTCACACAAAGTTGTCTTATGCAGCAAGTTGGTCGGTTGTAAGCTGCTTCTGCCAGGGAATTTGTTTATGGGAAAAAATAATCTGGCTGTGAGAACTAGACTTATTTTAAAGTAATTGACAAGAACTGTGTCTGTGATCCCCAATATAAGCTTTTTCCAGTCACTTTGGAGAGATTAGATGTCTCTTAACATCATCTTACTAGCAGTGAAGTTGCTCCAAAAGGACTCCTTTAATCATATTAGTTTCGCTGCCATCGCCCCGTCTTCAGATTCTTTCTTCTTGCCTAATAGAACCAAATCTGCTTTTGCCATCTATTAGGTCCAACATTAATGCTTCTTTGCATATTAATTACTCTTACTTTACCTATAACATTCAGCCCACGATCTCGTGGCTCCCCAGTTCTGAATATGAAGGCTTGAAGCTGCTACTTTTTCCATGTGGCAGTAGAAAACACTATATTGTGCTGTTTGATTTTCTAATGGCTTTCTATAAGAATTATTAAATACATGACAAAGTAAAGCAGAAACATCTAACAGTTGAGTCAGGAATTCACCCACTCTCTTTTTTGGCTTGTAATATGATTTATGAATGAATTTTCCCTGTATTAGAAGAAGTTGGCCTTGGCTCTTTATCCTAAATATTTTATCAGACTTCTGGGAAAACTTCTGAACAATGTGATAATGTGATGTCTTAGTTTCACTTATACAAGGAGAGGGGAAAAAAAAACCTGGTAGTGGAGGGGAAATGAGCTCTCAAACAGAACTCTTACAATTTAAAAGATATTTGTAACTATTCCAGGCAGGACTTGGATTGGAACAGTGATTAAAAACCACAAATGCTACGTATGTCAGTTTTGAACCCAGATCGTAACAACCTGGGGAAATTGTAACCATTATCTTCACTGACCTAGCATTTCTTTGCTTGAGTAAAACCCAGTTAGGCTATTACATTTTTTATGATCTTGAGATGAAACTATTTTCCAGAAGAATTATTAAAGTATATTGTAGATCATAATTATATACTGAAATGCACTTTATGTTTTTAATCTGTGTGCAGATTTAATAAAAAATTAACCATATGGAGGAAAAGATCAGGGAAGGAAGGAAAGGATCCAGTGCAGATTATACTATATGAAACACATATTTGAGATAATGCTGATAGAGCTGGAGCGTGTGGCGCATGTTATACTTGTGTGTACATAACGACATGCTCATTCCATCTCTAGGCAGACACACGCAGAATTTTACCTTTGACATGATAGGGAGTAATGCCAATGGGTAATTAAGAAAGCATGGAAGAAAAGTTGGTCCTGTGATACGTTTCTGAGATAGTTAATATTATTTAGTACATGTTACAGCTGAGATAATTGAAGGACACAACTGAAGGTTTGAGGGGGGACAACATGTCTTTTTTTGCACCGTAGAGTTCAAGTAGCTTGAAAAAATAGGTGAATTTTCCAGCTTTGAGTGTTCTCTCTCAGATCATGGTATTTGTAACAGTCTGTCTTGGGATATTAATGTGCAAGGCAATGTATCTTATGGTCATTAATTTCCCAACTTTGGTCAGAAATGAATGTTTCTTTTTCAAAGATTTCTAGTAATGTGGTTCTTGGAGACTGAAAATAGATGATTTAGCTGGATGCAAGACGGTATATTAACATTGTCTAAATTTCTAAAGAAGTGAGAGAAATCACTTTGGAGCTCTGGAATCAGTAACTGGCATTCTGAGGAAATGGGATCTTTAAATATATACAGTATTATTCACTGGATTTTCTTGTGCAACCTTTAATAAGCTTGAGCTGAGTCACCTGCATCTGCTTGGTAGAACTTCAATTTCTCATCTCAGTTTTATCACATCCTCTAGAAAGGAATTCCAGGGAACTGCAATGTTACTAGTGGAGCAGGGACGAAAAAGGGCCCAACACTGAGTTCTTTAGTGGAAATGCTCATTGTCAGAATTAAATTTATGAATGAAAGCGTGTATGTGCTCGCAACATCATAGGAGACAATTAGCTGTAGAGACAAAAGTTTTCTGTCCCACATGTGATGCTCCTGTACTTCATTTAAGAAACTCCAGAAGAACTGCAGTTAGGAAAGTATGTAGTGATGTAATACCCCGCCGAGGGCAGGCACCAAGCCGGCTCCCGCTGTCCGCGCCGCTCCCTCGTCCCTGCGCCTGATGCGCTGCCGCCTTGCGCGGCAGAGGGATGGAAGGATGATCTGTGATCAGATGAAAGGGTTTCCGAAGTCTCCTTCTTGCATTTTGAAGGTCATGTGTCTTATTTATATGTGTTTGCAGAGACTTAAGGGTTCTGTGCATCAGCCTGTGTCATCCTCTCTGGTTCCTCCACCCAAAGGAGGAGGTTCCTTGATGGGTCCCTGCTGCACGTTAGCCCGTTGTGGTGAAATACAGTCTCTCGTCCCTAGAAGTGACTGATAAATGATTGATGATACGCTTCTCTTTGGAAGGTGGCAGGTAATTTCTTCAGGAAAAAAAAAAAAAAAGAAAGGGCAGCCCCTCCAGAAAGGTAAATCTTCCTCCATCCACGCCTCGGGCAGGGGGGAGCTGAATTCATCTGCACGTATGAAAAGAAGTGGAAGAGCAATAAGAGAGGCCAAGAAACAGGATAGAGCATCCCGAGTCTGCTTCCTATACCAGCTAACAGCCTGCCTGAGAAAATCGAGTGGGTTTGGGTTTGTGGTGGATTGTGGGTTTTTGGTTTTCACTTTGTTCTTGTATTTCAGGTTATCTGTGATATGCAGAACCAAATTCAGAAGCTGCGAGAAGAGCTCATTCAGGTGAACGCTCAACAGAAGCAGCAGCTGCTGGAGCTGAGCCATCAGTGGGAAGAGGAGAAGCAGCAGGCAGCCCGAGACCATGAGGCAGTGGTGAAAAAGCTGAAAGTGGAGGCAGAAAAAATCACATTAGACCTGCAAAAGAAACATGCGGCAGAAACAGAGAAGGCCTTGGACAAGGTAAGATGTTCGGATAGGCATAGCAAAAACTGACCCCAAAAGTCAGATAAGCAAAGTTTTGCTGAGGAAGAGTGTTTCAGGGTCACTTGAGCTGAAAAGACAGACATATGCCATAGATCTGACATTGGATGCCCCCAGTATGGAAGGTTTGGGGGTTCTGTAGTGAAAGGTTTCCCTTTGCCCACGTAGCAGCAGTGGTCGCTGCTGCAGCTCTTTTCCCCGAGCGCCGTGCTGGGCAGCACCTCCCAGCCGCGGCGAGTGTGGAAGCGGGCTGATGTGCAGGGACCTTACAAATCCGGGTGATCTCAGAGACACAGCCAGCCAGAGGCTAATCACTTTTCCTTTGCTGGAACAGAGAGAGTAGAAAGGGCGGTTCTGTCTAACCGAGTTTTTTCTCCCTTAAAAAGAGGGAAGGTTCTTAAGGAGGAAAAAGTTCGGGCTAAAACTGCAAGGAAATTGGGTCTAGTTGCTAACAATGGCTGGTCTACTTTTGCTGTGCATCGGGTGAGCAGGGACTCTGTGAAAGGCTGGAAAGTAGAAATTAATGTTTCAGACACATCAAGGCTTCTCTCCCCATTCTGTTCAGCGGGGTCACTGGCTGCGCATCAGGGCTCGCTGAGCGTCCCCTTGTCCTGACGACTTGAATTCCAATCTTTCACCACATTAGGAATCATATGAGCTAAAACTTGTGAGTTTTATTTCAACAGCTAAACTAAAAATACCACCCTACTTAATATTTATGGTAGACACTGTGTATATGTAAGCAGATAGTTGTTGAAGCACCTTTTATGTGCGTTAACGCAATAGATCATGCATTTTGTCGCAAAGTGATGTACAGTGGCACAAATTAACAATCTGCACATACTGTTTGAACAGCCTTTGTGCAAGTGACATTTCATTTACCTGCGTCAGGTTCTTGGTCTGTAATTTTAAACAGCATTCGGCGGATTATGTTGGAAATCAGCCAGCCTGAAGCCATTAAAATGGCTGTGATCAACAATTCAGAATCTTTTCTGAATGTAAGGAAAGCTCCGCTTGGCATAATTATTTAAAGCCAAGGTCATAGAAAGTATTTAAACCTTTGAAATTCATCATTAAAGGATTAATTTTAACTCAGGAAGACATTGTCATTTTTGCTTAAAAATGGAATTTGAATCTCAATTCTTTTCTTTCTTTGATCTTTTTTTACATGTGTAGTATAGCAAAAGAAAAGTTAACTTCTTTACATCCTCAAATTAAAGTTACAAATAATCCTTCATAGGGCAATATCTTTAATAGTCTTGAATTGTCATTTCTGTCAGAAATACTTTTTTAAAAATTTGCTGGATTTTTTTCTCTTTTTCAGAAATATTGCTAATTTTAAGCTATATTAACTGCTATTGAATTTTTTTTAATTTAACCTACTTCCCTATTTTTACCTCTAATCAGAAAAGTACACGTTGAGTAAAAAGATAGTAGGGGAAAAGAGGTATCTTTCACATAAATGTGAAGACACCTTGCATTATCTTCAAATCTCCGTTTCCCATTCTGCTACGTTTCCAAATGCAGACCTGTAGAAATTGGCCACGAAGTCCCAAAGTTAAGAGCTGAAAGGGCAAACTCCATTTAAAGCTCAAAAGTACAGGTTCAGCTAACTTAGTTCAAAACTTGATCCTATTCCAGGTCACAGAACTTTGATGAAGGAGATTTTTATCCAAGAGGGGGAACAAAGCATCTTAATTGCAACGTGAATCTTGAAACTTGGTGTGAAAAGTAGTTTTATTTTTCTAGCAGATCTTGTTACCTTGAAATTTAGGACAATATGGCCAAAAAAAATTGTTCTCTAAATTTACTTTTTTCTGCCAGTTCTGTAAAGATTGCTTAAAATTCTGGGAGGAAGCTGAATTTCACTGTTTAGGCTTGGAGCATCTGACTGTCTAGGTTTTCTGAAGGTCAGTCCATTCCCAAATGAAGGATCTCTGTCCTCTCTGGTCTCTTTTGTGACTAACACTGGTTTCTGTGTGGATTGCTTTGTGTACTTGTGGACTGTCGGTCACGTCAACATGATGAAATACAAAAGAAATTGCTAATACTTCAGTGAAAAGAAAAATTGAGGTAAAAATGACTAGAAGGAGATGTAGGATTCGTATGGTACTGGCCTTCCCTGTAACCCTGCTGGGATGGGAAGGAGGAGAGCTGGAGGCAGAGTCGAAGGAGTTTTCATTGCAGGAGCACTGGACGTGTAAATATTTGTTGGCATTTGGAGACAGCTTTTTGAATATTTAGGGACACAATTTACGGAGGTTTTTAATCTTCTGTTGCTTAAAAATCTCAACCTTAAAGATAGTACGTTGTTTATTGTAGCATTTCAGTTGATTCGTTTTGTTGGTGATGGCAGCATACAATGCCAGGCAGTTGCTCGATAAGTGTAGTGCGGTAATGTTTTTGAATCGGTGATTCTGAAAGCGAATGTCTTTTGACAGTTGTTACATCTCCCAGTGAGGAATGGTAAGTGGGAAAATATTGTAACAGGTTGCCAAATGGCGCCGTGTAACCGGCGTGATAGGAAAAATAAACATGGCACCTGTGGTTGTGGAAATAATAGTAATGGTAAAAGTCCGTAATTTTCCAGTGACCTTCCCTGTTGCAGGTATTATTTTCAATGAAACACCACTTTCTTATAAAATGAGCTATAGCTGACCTGAACACGCGCGTGAGGAGCAGCGTTGAGCCTGTTGTGGCCACGTTGGGCAGCGCTGAGGCTTCTCCGTGCCAAGGGATGTCCCTGAGCTGCAGAACGTTGGAGAAGGTGCTGAGGACTCTCCCTGAACTGCGGGCAGAGGGCTTCTGTCACCGTGGTCCTTCTCACATAGAACCAGAGCCGAGGTGGCCCAGGAGCAGCTCAGTGTGTGCGGAGGTGGCTGCTCTCGCTGGGCAGTGCCCACATGTCTCTTCAGCCCCGGTCACACGTAGTCCCCTGACTGCTCACCTTTTAAGTCATAACCTGATGTTAATGTTAGAACACAGAACGACCGTATCAGACAAGGATGTCCTTAAGGTCAGATAAGCCGTGCTGGACATAAATCAGGGAAAAATTCAAGGTGATAGCGTAGAGAATTTGAAACAGCACTTATCATGTTCTTAGGCTTCAGTACTTTCATAATATGTTATCTGTCTCTGACATAAAAATGACTTGAGATTATCTTCAATTTATTTCTTGTCTATTAGTTAAGGAATCTTAAACATCGTTTCAGAAGAACACTTCAATCATGAATTTGTTTTAAATTAACTTACATTTCGTTATGTCACGTGATCATAGCATTTTCTGACGTGATGGTAATTTTATTTATTTCTTTTTTAATTTGAAATCATACTTCACAGAGATGAAATGATACATAAACTGTTTAAGAACCGGAGAGTACGTAGTGCTGTGGTTGGGCTCCTCTAGTGACTGATTTTGGCAGCGTCCGTTCCCAGCCTGAGCACTGACCAGCCAGGTGTAACGGAGTGTGCAAAGATTATGAGCATTGTCCAGTTGGTCAGAAATTATTAAAAGCAAGAGACAAACAGCATTTCTAAGTGCGTGCAGATGTGGAGCTTGGCTAACACAACTGTTTGTAATGTTCATCTGTGGTATTTTCTTGGCAAAGAAAATGAGCGTTCAGAAAGCATGACCCGAGCAGAGCAGTAGACATGCTCAAAGGAAACAACCTTGGAACACTGAAAATATCTCATAAAAAAAAGCTCTCTTTGAATAGCGCACATGAGTAGATTGGAGTGGGAGAAAAATGTTTGGGTTGGTTTTTTTTCTTCCTCTCTAAATAATTTTCAACACTGAACTTTTTATTGACTTCTATATTTAAAGGGATATTTTGACTCATCCTGTTAAATCTTTATGCAGGTTCCAAGAACATCTAATTCTTTTTCGGTGCTGCTTTTCTTGTGGAGAAGTAATTTACATTTTTGTGTATTGACTGTACTGAACGCACATGATATTTGATTCCAGGATAAGGCTGTAGTCAAGAAAAAAAATAGTTCAGCACTTGACTGCAATTCTTCTGACTCCAGTACAATTGTGAAATGCTTCACTCTGGAGAGATGGGACTCCAAGATGGCATGCAAGGTGGCCAGAGCTGTGCAAATTGTGCTTGTAGACTTTAATGATGTAGCAGATGGTTGTACTCTGAGATTTATTTATTATTTTTTTTAAAAAGACATTTACAGTGTTTTCTAGTCTATACCTGTTAGAATCACTCCACCTGTGTCTGGTGGGAAGTCCACATAAAAACGGATTTCATCCGTTAGGAATTGGAGGTTAAGGTCACTGTGTAAATGACTGCTTCCCTAATTAAGAATAGTTATTCTATATAATAATTATGTTGTAATATAAAGTTTTTGTAACAAAATCTGCAGTGTCCTATAATCGGATGCTTAATTTTTGAGCGACTTCTACATGGCACACAGTTTGCAGAAAAGGTACTGATAACGTGCCCTGCAGAGTGTTTCAGTCCTGATTTTAAGATCAATCTTTGTGATGCTGAATTTAATTAACGAGCAAGTCCAGCCCTAGGCTGCAGTCCGGTTGGACATCCTCGTTGGATGTACACATACTGCATGTGTAGGGATAGCCTGAACTCACAGTATCTGTTCTGGCATAATTGTCACTACTCCTGCAGATGATATCATACAGTTCAGCACCGGCAAAGAGATAGAAGATGAAGGGAAAGAAGATGGCGTTTTCAGATATTAAAGAGATGCTCCAAGAGGTACTCTAACCAAAGTATAGAGTTTTCCCTAAGCAGTTAAGTTACTCTTATGCGGAATGAGAACTGCATGCTTTCCGT